GGTCTTTTATCCTGCGTATTCTGCTAGGTATCCTTCGTTATTGATATCTACCTCAAATATGTAACTATCACCTCCATATTTCCAGTAGGTGCTGTTGGTACGATGCATCTCCTGTTCATATCTCAGTTTTTGTTACATCTAGCGAGTCGAATTCGAGTACATTTAAAATTCAAATCCTTCACTTCCTTGCAGGCACGCATTTACTTGGACGTAATAAAGACGGGATCGTTCAATTCATCCAAGACATTGCATTTTTAGTACCAATTCCCATAGTGTTAATATTCTCTCTAGTTCATTATACAGTCATTCAAGCCCAAGACCATCCATCATACATGGGTAGAACATTGGACAAGGAGACTTGACATTTTGGCCCGCATTTCAATCATTCGAAATTGAAGATGATATGTCATATTTCTGGAGACACAATTTACAGCCTCTCGCCAGCGGCGGCCTTCATCTGACCGTACTTCTTGAGACGAATGGCAGACACGTTGATGAAGCCAGTGGTCTCGGCGGGGGAGAAGTCACCAATCTCATCCATGGAGGACTCGCTCATGTCGTAGAGCTTCTCTGTCTCGGAGGAGCGACCGAGGATGGAAACGGTGCCCTTGTAGGCGCGGCAGCGGACCTTACCGTTGACGGACTTCTGGGAAGCGGTGATGGAGCTCTCAAGGAACTCGCGCTCAGGGGAGAAGTACATGCCGTTGTACAGGAGCTGGATACGTTAGATCGGAGAATATTATACCGGAAATAGATATCGTTCTTACCTTGGAGTAGTTGGAGGTGACGAAAGAATCGCGCAGGGCACGGACCTCACGGTCCATGACAAGACCCTCAAGGTCACTGGACGCAAGTCAGTTATGCCATCAGAATTCCGCATACAATACTTACAGGTGGGCAGAGCGCAGGCAGGTGAGACCGGGGGTCTCGTAGCAGCCGCGGGACTTGATACCGATGAAACGGTTCTCGACGATATCGATACGGCCAACACCGTGACGGCGGGCAATGGCGTTAGCGGTGAGGAAGAGCTCGACGGAGTCGGTAACAGCCTTCTGCTTGCCAGCCTCAAGGTACTCGAGCTTGACGGGGACACCCTTCTCGAAGTAGAGAGTGAAGTCCTCGGGCTGATCGGGGGCGGTCAGTGGATCCTGTGTCAACTTCCACATGTCGGCGGGAGGAGTGGTGTCGGGATCCTCCAGAATACCGGCCTCGTAAGAGCAGTGGGCAAGGTTCTCGTCCATGGACCAGGGCTTAGACTTCGTGGAGGTGACGGGAATACCCTTCTCCTCGGCGTAGTCGAGCAGGTCCTGACGGCCCTTGAAGCGCTCGTAGAAGACCGGGTCGCGCCACGGGGCAATGACCTTGATTTCGGGCTGGAGGGCGTAGAAGGCAAGCTCGAAGCGGACCTGATCGTTACCCTTACCAGTGCAACCGTGGGAGACAGCGAAGCAGCCCTCGCGCTAGGCTTGTGTCAGTATGGAATCTCTCTTCTGGCGGAGAAGTAAAGCGTACCTTGGCGACGTCGATCTGGGCACGGGCAATAACGGGGCGAGCCAGAGAGGTACCGAGAAGGTAGACATCCTCGTAGACGGCGTTGCAGGCAATGGCGGGGAAGCAAAGCTCCTCGATGAACTCGCGGCGGATGTCAATAATCTCGCACTTGAGGGCACCGATCTTCAGAGCCTTCTCGCGGGCAGCCTCGAAGTCCTCTGCGAATGGTTATTAGACCGATGTTGGAGGATACCTCGACGGAATTGAATTTACCTTCCTGACCGACATCGGCCACTATGTTCATATTAGTACTTGATCATAATTGACATGGCATTGAATCGCGACTTACTGAAACAGACGACCTCATAGCCCTCTTCGATGAGATATTTCACTGAATTCCGGTGTTAGTATCCGCAATTGGTGAATGAGAAGACCGATGATGTTCATACAGATGCAGCTGGTATCGAGACCGCCGGAGTAGGCGAGGCAAACCTATGGTCGAACTGTCAGAGAAAGTGTGGAGCGGGTGGCGGTGTGGGATAGGATGGGGAATTGAGGTTGGGGAACTGAAGTTGGGCGTCTGAGAAGGGAGGCTGGGGGAAGCCATAGTGCATACCTTTCCCTGTGCCATTGTGTGGAATTGAATGAAATTCAAAAAGACCTAGAGACGTTGAGTATAAAACAAAAGGAAGATTGAGTCATTGGGAAAAAAGGTAATTTTGGTGGGCCGGGGAAACAAGTCACGGGTCCGACGTGATAGCCCTGATAAGATAGATCGCTGCCCCTCCAATCTTTGTCCGAATCAGATCCGACTCCTAGAACAAACCTACAAGTCGAATGGCTTTCGAAAAGAGATATCAGCTGTGGAACTCATTATGGATAGTCAACACCAGGTTTTCCATGCTTCCTATGGAGAGGACGAGCAAACTATGTGTTTCACTTCTTTGCATACCAAGATACCATAAGAGAAAAGATCAAGTCCGATCCATTGGAACAGAGTGAGTGCATAACCAGCGCGTATGTCTACTGATTCCATGTTCTATTCGATAGTCGCACATGATATTTCCATTATTTACTGCATTGGCCCATCACACTTCGCGCACTTCGTCATAGCTCCAGTTTGACTTGTTTGACTAGTTTGCCCTATTTGCATTATCTCGGCTATCCGCGGCGGTTTCCCCGCGCAATTCCCCGGACAATGCACAAGGAGCGAATTTAAAGGCAATCATCCCTTCGGAGAAGAAAACTCATGTATCTACATTCTGTTAATATCCCACAATTCTCACAGTTCTAGCTAGAGATGGCTTCCTTACGAACTCCTTTTCGGTGTCTCGGCCAAGCTCCTCGCCGGTTCTACTCTGGAGCTCCCACTCCGGCAGCCAAGCTGAACCTACCTATTGACTACAAAACCACTCCAATTTTACACCACACCTCATCCTCCTTGACAAATACAGAGTACCCGGCAGGTGCCACCAGCAAACGGCTCAACCTCTATCAAGCGATCAATTCGGCACTGCGGACAGCATTATCCAAATCCGATCGAACTATCGTGTTTGGCGAGGATGTTGGATTTGGTGGCGTCTTCCGGTGCTCAATGGATCTCCAAACAGAATTTGGGTCTGATCGAGTGTTCAACACCCCTTTGACAGAACAAGGCATTGCGGGTTTTGCAATTGGGGCGGCAGTGGAAGGGATGAAGCCTATAGCTGAGATCCAATTCGCCGACTACGTGTTTCCGGCGTTCGATCAGATCGTGAATGAGGCGGCCAAGTTTCGGTATCGAGAAGGTGGGACAGGCATTAATGCTGGGGGTCTTGTCATCCGCATGCCGTGTGGCGCGGTTGGACACGGTGCTCTGTACGTTATATCCGAGTGCCAAGCAGGTTGGTATGCTAATTGACTGACCGGAATAGGTACCACTCTCAATCGCCAGAGTCGCTCTTCGCACATATCCCCGGTTTGCGAGTAGTCATGCCACGCTCCCCTGCTCAAGCAAAAGGGCTCCTTCTGTCTTCTATCTTCGAGCACAATGATCCGGTGGTTTTTATGGAACCCAAGATCCTCTACCGTGCAGCCGTGGAATATGTCCCGAACGAATACTACACCATTCCGCTGAGTAAGGCTGAGGTCATCAAACCTGGCAAGGACTTGACCGTCATTTCATATGGACAGCCTCTTTACCTGTGCTCTTCTGCTATCTCTGCCATTGAGAAGACTATGCCGGGTGTCAATGTGGAACTTATTGATCTGCGGACTATATATCCCTGGGATAGGCAAACTGTTATCGACAGTGTCAAAAAGACCGGTCGAGCCATTGTGGTGCACGAAAGTATGATCAACTACGGTGTGGGTGCAGAGGTTGCTTCGACGATACAGGAGAATGCCTTCTTACGTCTTGAAGCCCCCGTCAAGCGAGTTGCTGGGTGGAGCACACATACTGGGCTGAGTTACGAGCAATTCATTCTGCCTGATGTTGCAAGTGAGTACCCAATTCCCTTTATTTCGTTCCTATTATCACTAACTGATATTCTTCTCACTCTAGGAATCTACGACGCAATTAAACAAACACTTGAATATTAAACTGTGATTCCTCCTAGGAGATTATAATAATACGCAGGCCATTTTTACCTAAGTACATTATCCACTTTCAGTTTAGCAATTGTGAGCAGGTCCAAGGAGTTGAATCAAGCAAAAGAAGATTGCCAACATGGACTTTGTTGGCTCAATGTAGTCTGTCTTGTTCCCCATGGTTTCACAGAAGATGTTACGTACTGTTCCTACCGCCAGAATTCACATGGAACTAGAATATATCAGTTGATTATATATTATCATCAACTTTTCGGGGTTTCACCTATAACTACTCACATGATGTAGAGGCCTGAAGATCAGGCATGTCCTCCAGAACCTACCCCCGAGCTTCTTCATTTTCCCTCTGTCGTGGTTGGGATCTTTCCTCTGTTTCTTCTTCTTTCAAGTGTTACCCCGGTGCCTTCGCTTTCTGGCTCTTTCCTCGTTCCCTCCAAAAATTCGTCTGCACGTGTCCACGTGCCCACCTGGCAGGGGTGCAGGTGGTTTCAGCCCTGTCTCTTCACAGTCATCTCTTTCTCAATCTTCCGAAGCTCTTTACCTTGTTCCACCTCAGTCCCCTCCACCTTATACCCATTTCCAACTTCTGAGTCTCTTTCCCTCGTTTATCAAACTGTGTGACTACCTATTTGGCATCTGGCTCAACCCTACATAGCGTTGCCCTCGGACATCAAGCCATGGGATGCAAACAATCTGTCGTTACATCTGAGTGAATATTGTCCTTGGCCTACAAAACAAAGCTAGTTCCGACATGAAACAGCTTCAGTATGGATCCAAACATAACGGACCTTGATACAGCGGATCTTGTTTTACAAACTGAACTACAAGAGGTCGAGGAGGATCGAGGAGGCTTTGGGATCATTGAATCGCGATGCAAAGGACGGAGCAGCGCAGATTGGTGATCAGAGGCTTGCTCTATTACAATGCGAGCCGAGCTTCAAGGGCGAATGAGGACACAGCAGGACCTTCGAGACGCCATACAGAATTATGAGGTGTGCGTTTCTTGCTCGGAAAGTCACCATGAGTCCGACATGATTCGGAACAGCTGTTCACATGTCTATTGCCAAGGATGTGTCATCCGCCTTCTTCAAAACTCCCTAGCTGATGAAAGCTTGTTCCCTCCTCGTTGTTGCCGTCAACCTTTGCCATTAGAAGCTGCGCGTTGTATCATCGATGATGGGCTGTGGGCGAGGTTTGAGGAAAAGACAATTGAACACGGACATCAACATCGCACTTATTGCTCAGATCCTGCCTGCTCTCGATACATTCTGCCAGCATATGTCCATGGTACAATCGGAACCTGCAGATTGTGTAACCGACAAACTTGTACCCTCCGCAAGAAGATCAATCATCAGGGAGAATGCGTTGACGACCGTGCAGAGGTCTAAGAGCTCGCGAGAGCGGAAGGATGGCAACGATGCTCGAATTGCAGTCATCTTGTTGAGCTGCGTAGCGGCTGCAACCATATCACGTAAGAATTTTCTCTCCTTGATATTATGGCTACTTATGCTAATACACAATCATTTGTCAGATGTCGTTTCCGGCATGAATTCTGTTATATGTGTTCGGCTCCATGGAAGCAGTGCGAATGCGCCCATTGGGACGAGGACAGGCTCCAAGAGCGAGCGGAGCTGATTGCGGCTCGGAACCAGCGCGCTCCTGCAGCACAGGTTGTTGGGCAAGCAGCTCAATTCTTAATCGCGCAGCATGACTGCGATCATGACGTAGTCTGGAAAAGGCTCACGACTTCCGCTGAATGTGTGGAATGTGGTGACTGGATGCCCGATTTTATCCTCGAATGCAGGCAGTGCGGACTACAACCATGCAATGACTGCCGAATACATAGAGTCTAATTGAGGAGGTAAAGGAGCTGTGAAAGGGTTAGTTAGTCAAGTATCTTAGTGAAACCCTTATAGTGGGACTATTCAATTGACCTACCAACTCTTATTTCAACCTACATGCTCCTAGGAATACTCAATCTTTATTCTTTTAAAAAAATGGGATATCGTGCTAAAGCACAATACATGCATATGTATGTGACTATTGTTGTCAATAGAAGTCAAAACTGTCTGCAAGTCTTTCTACACTTCAATTTTATTTTCTACATTTCCATCTTGCAACTATCTATGTTGAAGACGGTTATTCGAACCTCATTTTTATCATGTGTACAGACATTCGATCAAAGCGACTGGCCAAGTATTTTGATTTTGGAGCGGTTGTCCATGGGAAGCAAGAAGTCCAGGATATGAACGACTTCCAGCGATTTGGAGTTTGAAGAACAAGAGTACTTTGAAGCTTTGAGCAACACCGTCAAAAGAAATGGGCCGTTCTCATCGAAGAAAGAATGAACTGGACAGGCAAAGAGTCTTCACAAAATCAAAAGCAAACCTGAGAGCTCATGTTTCGAGAAGGGGATAGGCTATCAACCGAGCAGCGTGACAGCGTCTATCGATTTTAACAATGGCGCAAACCGGTCGATTGCATCATTTCCAGTTGCACTTGGCCCAAGAACCCATTCTGTACTTGCGTACAAATCGGTCTGAACGGAGTCCGAAACCGTAGCTTGAGAGCGAATGTGACGAGTGTTCTGAGAATTGACCACGTCCTGGACGGTTCTGTTGTTGTCTGCGTCGGTGGCGAGCTTAGGCTTTTTCTCGTCATGATGGTCAGTCTCATCGTCGGTCTCTTCGTCAGTACTCTTTCTCTTGCCACCTGCTAGAGGAATGTGGTAGAGTTGAACGAGGTGTGGATGGATGAGGCTTTTATCGTCGAAATACAAATCACGTAGCACGGCCAATTCATCGATCGTGGTGTGGTCAAGTGCATGACAGCGGGCACTTCCTAATATGGCGATTCCTCGTCGAATTGCAGCTAATGGGTGTCCGTGCCATGGCTTAGGGGTAGTAAGAACCCTAAGAAAATCGATGGGTAAACGGCCGCCACAGAGGAGATTTTTCAGGTAGTAGCCACGGTACAGTGCACCGATCGCGTCGTCTGGCACTAGTCCTTTCGAAGTAAGGTGGTCACGGTAGTCCTTGGCGGTTGGCACGATTCGGCTAGATGGTGGATCAGCTTGGGCACGGCGCCGCCGATCTTCAAATTCATGTCTTATGAAGAAGTTCAAATCCGTCGGAAGGAACACCCAGCGGGGGTCATCGGAACGGTCGAAGGCAGCGTGGCAGGTAGGACAAAGCTGAATGCAGTTGGTCATGGCTTTTAATGAGAATGGCAACAGGCCAGCTTCTATCCAATAATGGACCTTGAGGCTGGTTAGCTAATGTAGAAAATGTATGGGCATATGGAAAAATACTTGACCATCTTTCTGTGCAATAACATGGGCGAATTCAGGTTCAGTTGTCGAACAACTCCAACACTGAGCGCCAGACAAGCGGGCAACCTCAAGCTTGACAGTATCACTGAACGCGTTTGAAATGTCCGTTCGAGGTTGTGAATTTTGAGTGCGATAAGAGAAGCGAGAAACGGAAGCAGGGCAGGAAAGTGAAGCAGGTGGAGGCCTCGTTCGATTTACTTGCCATCATTAGCTGGTGCTGGATGGGTTTTGGGCCGAGCCATCTCACCTCCGTAATAGGTGGCTTTGAATTCATATAGGGAAGCCATCGAGCTCGAATGCGACTACCTCGTAATCACAGTCGGAAAGAGGAAGGAGTATTATGGTAAGTACCGATCGTGTCAGACTGCTCAGGTGGGACATGGCCCCTAAACAGGAACCTTGGTTTTTGTTATGGTTGATGGTAAGATTGACGTATTTCAAAGTTTATATGTAGAAAAATGCTGTCTGCCCAAACTGAGAAATTCTTGCAGGGTATCAACGACCGATGGAGAAGTTCTCCGCGCACAATCCAGGGCTGCCTAGTCGGCTCCTGCATGAGCTCAAGTTTGAAGATTTCGACAAAACTGAGTTGATGCAGATTTTGATCGGATGCATCGAGAAGACACACGGCGGGCGGATAAAGGTCGGGGATAACCTTAAGAGGACTTTACTGTCGCATTGTAGCTCGTCGAGTTGGGAGGGGGCGTGGTCGTGAGGACTAAGGCTTTGGCTGAGGCACGTCGTAAGGAACAAGCTAATCGGATGAAGCTGAGATCCATGGGAGTCTGTGTCCAGGGCTATCAATGGATTAAATGAAGCGGCGGATATCGATTTGCTGGTGGTTCCCATTGGGTGTCGGATGCTCAGTTTGGAAGTGCCTGAGCTTGGGATATTGTATTGAGAATATTGGAATGTCGTTAGGATCAGACTAGGATGAGAATGGCGTTTCTCTTGGCATCAAGAACGAACTTTTGGGGCTTGACGTCAAAATGAGTTCGGCCTCTCTTGTAATGCTCTTCCAATCTGTAGAGCCCATTGTATCGGCAAAGAACCGTGTTGAACCTCAGCCTCCTCGATGATTTGCTGAAGTGACCCTCGGATAGTATTCAAGAAGGAGTCCCATAATCACCGGCATATCAGTTGACGGGCAAGTCTTATACGGGTTCCCCGATATAACTAGGCCGACTAGTTGCGCCATATTTGGCTGTCTGCGGAGTTGTGTAAGGGCATCGATCTCATTCAGGATATTATTCGTGTCTTCAGGCTCATAGATAGGGTAGTCGATCGTTCTGTAAGCAAACTCATGTTGTTTGAATCTGACCGTGGAGACTCTCAGCACGATAACTTCAACGTTATGTAGACAACTCGCGTCAAATGTCGGTAGACATCTGTCTTGGTTTAAAGTCGGGTACCTGACTCTCTTTGGATCTTCCGCAATTTTGTAGCACATTTTATGGGCAACGGCAATGAAAAGGTTTTCTTGGGTCTGATACCCATCCCGGATCGTGATCGAGTTTTGCCTCTGCTCGGTCAAGCTTAGAGGTAATCATTGTCACAGTATCCTCTAGAAGCTGCAGTTGATCGAAATGAACCGCTTCAAGGAATGCTTGAAGCATGGACCAGCGCTAGAAATAACCCAGATACATTATCGGTTCCGAGACACCAATCCACCACAACTTTGATCCACCATGAAGACCCATTGTCGTGAAATATTAGGGTTTGTGATAGACAGTCGCTATTCCAGTCTTGATACGATCGGAATTCCAGGTTGCAAGAGGAAGGGAGAGTGTTTTCGGGCATTCGTGTTATTGAAGGAAGTGGACTCTCCTTTTGCCTAAGAAAGATACTTGCAGATAAATCGGTGAACAAAATTGGGGCATAGGGAGTCGTGCAAAGTGTACCGTGTTATAAAGCAGATGAAAGAAATCAAAGATACTAGGTGGCCGGGCTTGTAACTGGACCGGGCTTGTAACTGTTGAACGATGTGAACTAATAGCAGAAGCTTACTAGTAGAGCAAAAAGGTGAAAGGAGGAAGTTGCTCGACTACTTACCATTCAGGGTCTGCTAGTAGCACACTTTCTAGCAGTGAGCCTACCACTTTTTACCGCATTTTGATTTCATGTCTTACTTAGTGTATCTTTTTATTACTACTGTTATTATATGATATTCATTGTTTAAGCATCACAACGTCGAATTGAATACATTGAATGCTACAAGTAATTCGAGGATATGAAAGAGGCAAGGACAACGAGTGCGACGCACAGGTGCGGCGGTTAGAAGCCTTATGGTTGGGGTTATCCATGTTAATAGATATCAGCGGCATTGATCAGTGGATTCCCAATTCTCCTTTAAGCATCTCAATACCAAAGATTATGAAGTGTACTTGGTGTGAACCTTGGAAGCTAGCGGAATATTGAATATTAAAAAGATTATGTGATTTGAGACATTGTGACCAAGTATATGTCATCAAATTAAAGTAATTTTAGATTTAAAGAAACTGATTGATAACCAAGTGCGGAATTATACCTACATATATGTAGGTATCTAGAGTCCTTCAGAGCTCCAGGGAGGTCGGGAGGTATGGATGGATTCGTCAGCGGCTCGGAAGTAAAATATAATCCCGCCTCCGGCGTGGGCATTCCGCGGTGCTTTGAAATCGGTCCGAGACATACACCTATCTGGGTAGGTAGGTAATACCATGGCTCTGTAATCAATATCTCCAGAATCCATATGCAGGGCCAGTACTGCGAATACGGCATGGCATAACGGGGCATATAAAGGGCCATAACCCCTACTGGGGGCTTTGAATTGGACAACACTCACACTCTGTTCATTGCTCTGAATACTTTATTCAGCCCTAGAATTACTCATTAGAAAGCCAACCTGTTCTTACTTCATTCATATCTGAACTTCAACATGACGAGCATCAAGGTTGCCCTTGCCGGAGTACGTTAGCCCAGTGACCCTCACACATTTTCGTTCGCTAACATGATTCCCAGGCTAGCGGGAATCTCGGTCCTGCAGTTCTCAAGGAGCTCCTCGCTGCAGGCTTTAATGTGACTGTCCTCACTCGACAGGGCAGTGATAAAACCTTTGACTCCCGTGTCCACGTCGCACAGGTGGACTATGAGTCCCTCGACTCCCTCAAGGCGGCTCTTTCCGGCCAGGATGTTGTAGTCAGCACTTTGAATGTCGGCGCAGTTCCCAAGTCCACCCACTTGCGCTTGATCGATGCAGCAGTAGCAACTGGTGTTAAGCGGTTTATCCCTTCGGAATACGGCTGCGACACCACGAATCCCCTTGCCTCAAAATCGCCTGTCTTCGGCGATAAGGTCAGCGTTAAGGGATATCTCGAGAACGCCGCTCAGCAATCCGGCCTCAGCTACTCGCAGCTCTTGACTGGCCCCTTCCTCGACTGGGGTATCCAGAACGGCTTCTTGCTCAATCTTGCTGGTCCGGTTGCACTATATGATGGCGGCGATCGTCGTTTTAGCGCAACTACTCTCGGTGGCATCGGCAAAGGAGTGGTTGGAATCATCAACAACCTCGAAGCCACTAAGAACTCCGCAGTTTATATCAATGAAGCTAGAGTCACTCAGAATGAGCTGCTGGAATTGTCCGGCAAGACCCTTGAGACGAAGATTGTTCAGACCACAGACATGGAACAGGAGGCTTTTGCAGAACTGACCAAGCCTGCCCCTAACCCGGCGATCTTTGTTCCCAAATTCATTCTGCGGGCTATCTTTGGTGAAGGATTTGGCTCTCTTTTCGACTCTGAGAAGGTTTCTAACGATCTGTTCGGCCTGAAGACTCTGTCCAAGGAGGAACTCCGCGGTCTTATCCGCCAGTGAATGCTCTTTTCGATATTTAAATAGCCTCGGGTGCTCCATTGAAATATGTACGTTAAGTGCCTAGCATCAATTCAATCTCTCTAGTTTTCAAATTTCACGATGACTATACCTCCATGTAGCTTTCGTAGGAAAAGGGCCTCGAGGCCATTAATATGGCCTTGTGATTAATGGCCCTGTGGTCGAAGTGGCTCTTGGAAGAAATAATTTAGTAATGATGGAGAAGAGGCTGGAGGTAGCAGGCCGACAAAAAGACAAAAGGTCTAACAGTCAATTCACTAAAGAGAATACGTGTGTACTTAACCTTGTCTATGGTCTCTCTTCGGCTCTCTAAGCACCCTCAATAGAAGGGAAATGTTGAGAATTCCACTCGTTCTGGTTTAATCAGAGTCTAGATTGCAGACAGTACTCAGCTATCAGATTTTCCATTAAATTCATCGAACACAGATGTAATCATAAAAGTCCAAGCCATACCAAGGCAACGTATCAAGGGCAAAAATATCAAATCAAAACCGCGTGGATCAGTGTTCAACCTCCCATATCCATACTCGAGGTTATCCATTCCTCGCATCAAATTCCAGTGGCTCGCATAGCATAGCCTTCGGATTTTCATCAATTTCTTTGGTAAGCGTGACTGTTAGAAGGACATCTACAGACGCTTTGCTCTTTTCCACATTCATAACAGAAGTTCGTTCCACACCGACAGCTAGAGGACGTGGTCAGTTTTCAAAGGTTTTTAAGCTTAGAGACCAAATTCGACCTACTACATTGACAAGCAGCCATTTACACGCTCTATGATCCTAGAGCACTTCGGACATCGTTGCCACTTCTTCTTCTTTGCTAGTGCTTCCAGCAAATCATCATTGGCCTTTTCATCAGAAGCACGGCGGCTGCGCTTATTCTTCTCGTTGCAATCGCCCCTGTGTGCCTGCTTTTGGCAATCGGTGCACGTTCGAGCACTACAAAACTCGCAGGTTCCCACCCCACGACGGATGTTCTGTGGCAGGATATAGCGAGAGCAGGTTGAGTTTGCGCAGTAAGTTCGCTGAGAATCGCTGACTTCGGTCTTCCGTCCCTCGTATCTCTTCATCATCTCGATACCGATCATATCCTCGACGGCGGTAGAGACACAAATCGGCATACGGCAACATCGAGGAGGAAACAGGGCTTCGTCCGTAAGGGAATTTTCGAAGAGGCGCGGAATACATTCGCGGCAATAATTGTGAGCACATTCTGTTTGAATAATATCCGACAGCGGATACTGCTCTGTACAAGATGTACACTCATGGCGAGTCTCGGTCTCTTCTTTGCTGGTTTCAGCGACATCATCATTCGAGACGGTATATTCCGGCGCTGCAGACTTCTTCACTTCCACTTTAGGAGCTGTCAAAGTCTTTTTGCTTCGCCTTTTTCTGAACCCTCCAATTTTCATCAACGATTCTCCCAACTGCACTATGGCTCGGCTGGTGTTCATTCTGATCTGAGTCCGAACCACAGTCTATGGATTGATATCATGGACAAAGTTTTAATGCTCTTGTAGTGCGAGGTGAAATAGCTTTTGAAAGATCAAAAATGTTGGTTATGTTTGCCAAATCATCCTTTATAAGTGAAGTCATAATGAGGAGTATAAAGAATGCTATAAGCTTATAATGTATCGTATTTACAGAAAAGTCTATTAGGATCTACGTGAATTGAGAAGGCCATGCAATTACATAGGTATGATGGCTAACATATATGTCTAATCCCCCAGGATCCACTGTTATTATTCAAATGTTTAGATGTCAAAAAGCAGCACCGAAGGTGTCGACCGATCAACCTCATAAGTCAGAAAACGCCTCATTCTTGACTAGACACTAAGTTATTGAGCAGTTCAGGCTATTTCTTGAGAAATAAATGAGATCGACTCAAAGACAACCGTGTAAGCCACATGCTTTGTCCTTCCATTCCAACTGCACTTCAATTGCATCCATATCAGTCTCCTAGATTGACCAGTGCCTTATCCAGTCCGCCGAAGGTAAACGTGGAGCACTCCTTGAAATTGGCTAGTTCAGTCGCCTCGTTCATAAAGATTCTCTTCAACCGCGTAGGGACAGCCGCACGTTTTCCACTGTTTCCCGCAAGAATAACAAAATTCGAACTTGCAAAAACACCTTGTAGATGTGAGTCAAAAAGCTCAAGAGGATAATCAAATATTAAACAAAATTTCCCTTACGTGATATGATTACAGCCTGTGCTGAGCTCAATTAGACGACTGCAATTAGAGCATCGTTGCCACTTCTTGCAACCTGCCAATTCCTCCAGAAGCGCATCAAGCTTATACACGCAGGCTCCCCGATGGGCGCTTTTTTTGCACTTCCTGCATGTGCGTACTCCACAGCTGGCGCATTTGCAAACTCGCTCCCGTGGGGCCTTGCGTGGGAGGTATTGAGCGCACTTCGAATCAGAACAATATGTTCTGTCAAGGTCCTTAAGCTCGATTGCCTTCTCCTTGTGCTTTTGAACCAATACAGATCCAAGCATTTTCTCCGATGCCGCGATTGGTTCGTGACAGCATTGAGGGGGAAACAAGGATTCATCACGCAAAGCGTTTTTGAACAGCCGGACCAAGCAAGATTTGCAGTAGAAGTGTGAGCACTTCGTTTTGATCATATCATCTTGGATGTGATCGTCCCGGCAAGAGGCACACTCGCACCGTATGTCGGATTTGGGAGAGTCGACCAAGTTGATGGCATTTTCGATGGAATCACCAAGTTGCTGAACGTCCATACGGAGGGAATGGGAAGAGGATCTTGTTTTCTTGCACTTGGACAAGTCATTTTCTGTCTCTAATCCCATTGACATAGCTGTACCCATACTGACGTTGCTCATGCTGATCCTTCTTCCAATACCTTATAAACGTGAGTCCTGCCTCGTCCTGTCTATATTGTCTTAGACTTCGTATCTCGATCCGTATTGTAGTCCATGTGATGAAGGCAGTTCTTGAATGAATCCGAGCGGAAGATGTCTTAGAAAGATCGAAAAACTCCTTGGAATACCGTGGAGCTTCTATAGAGGAGGGAAAATAAGAAAATAAGTGGTGAGGTTGATACTACGTATATACCCACGTGAACACCTGGAAAACAAGGCACGGAGGGCAAATAATACACGACGAAGTATTAACGAAAATTTTAGTTTTGGTAGCGTCATTGCTCAGAGATGTTCATACTAGGCATAACCCTAATATTATCTATGTATACCATTTCTCGCTTGTATAGCAATATAAAAGTATCAATTGGCTTGCCTCGAGCGAAATCGAGCAACGGCACATCACTCACATGTAAGTGATTGAGCAATCTCAGCTATACGACAGATTAGAGTTTATATTCCTCCAAGCCAAGTGTACCAAAGCCACAGACTTTACTCTTCAGACCAAGTTCAGTCAGAATGACCCTATCCACACAGTCTCTTTCGAATCGCGTAGACTCATGAAGATTGCTTGCCCAGATGTCGTTCGGCCTATACCGAACAGTTGCAAGTTTTCCATTTCTTCCCGCAGCTGTAGCACCACTGGGCTCTGCAAATACAACTATCAGGTGTCAGTAAAAGACTTCCCGAGTTGCTTCGGGGTTTTAGAACGGATCAACAAAGCACTTACGTGATATGAGGACAGTCTTGAATGAGCTCAATCACACGGCTACATTTAACGCACCGTTGCCATTTCTTCTTCTTCATCAATCTCTCCAAGGACTGGTCTAGTTGATATAGACACTTGCCCGCATGGGTACTCCTCTTGCACTTCCTGCACGTACGTACTCCACACCTGCAGGTGCCAACCGTTTGGGAAGTAAAATTTGGCCAAAATTTTGTGACTGGCGGGATATATCGAGAGCATTTTGCATCTGAACAATAGGTTGGATGTCGATCGCTGAGCTCAGTTTGCCTATTCTTTTATTCTTGAGCTAACATCTTCTTCATGCCCGAGCCTTCGATTGGCTTGTGGCAGCATTGAGGGGGGAACGAGGATCCATTCTGGTTTGTGACCATGCGGATTAAGCAGTCCTTACAATAGAAGTGGGAGCACTATGTTTTGAATATTTCACTGCAGACTTCTCTACAGGAGCTGCAGACCTCGGGCTTGGAGGAGTGGGCCGAAACCGAGGCTTTGATGGAACGCATGATGTTCTTGAGAGAGTGAAGTAATTTCTGAATAGCGGTAGATATACGTTTGGCGAACGTCATTTTTCCCTTGGCCGACAGAGCTGTGGCCACCTGAGAGTCATTCAATATGACTCTTTGTTTTTCGATTTTGGACTTCCATGTATGAAGTGCCACTCCCCAGTCGGGCTCGAGTTCTTCTAGCCTGTTGGCTGGTGGATTTGTAGCCTTCAGCAGCTACTGCTGTGTTTCAAACCAGTCAATATTTTTTCCTCGAACAGCAGCTCTAACGGTAGGGACTCTGTATCTTAGTCCATTCTTTGAGGGAGGCTCTCGAAAGATTGACCCCTTGATCTTACTCAGAGAGGGGGTCTCGCAAGAACGGAGAATTAGAAAAGAAGATGCAAAGCTGACCCTGGAAGGAATCAGTTCAAAAATGCCTGAAGACAAAGACATCCACCTAGTTTAGCAAGATCTCTTAAGAATATCGGTTGAAGAAAAAATTATTCAAAAAGGCGAGTGCATGACGAAGTATGGAGATGAGGTCGATGTATGTCGACGTACCATGTTATCAAGTGTCGTCATTGCTATTATCCTGCTAAGCTTGAATTTGATCTATATTGTGTTAAAGGCATCTCTTGTTGTTTTATCCTGATGATGCCCTCGTGAAGTATATGCCCCAGGGCGTGGAAGAACATGATGAGTCATCCGCCTTAATCCCGCTATCTCCGCCTAAAGTCAGTTCCGCAGATAACTTCGCTTCTGCAACACTGTCAACCCAGACTAGCTGTCTTCGAGCACGGCTAGTAACCTGTATACTCTCGAAGATCTAATCAAACCGAACCGGAGACACCTACCTAACTCGCCCAAGATGCAGGGCTTCAGTAAGTCCTAATCCCACCTCAAAGAACATGCGAAACAGCCAGCTAATATGCCATCTCAATAGACATGGGACGGTCAGCAAAATATCCAAATATCCACATAATCCCTCCACTAACATTTGCAACAGTTATGTCCCCCCGGATCAGGAAGGCGTAACAACGGGAAACAAACTCGCCGGAAAGCACGCACTCGGCGCGCGCGCGCGCCACCTACACACAACAGGCGCACTAATCGTGCGCTTCGAGATGCCCTTCGCAGTATGGTGCACGACCTGCAAGCCACACCCCATAATAATCGGACAGGGCGTACGGTTCAACGCAGAGAAGAAAAAAGTAGGCAACTACTACTCGACGCCGATCTACAGCTTCCGCATGAAACACACCGTCTGTGGCGGGACCATCGAGATCAAGACCGATCCCAGGAATACGGCCTACGTTGTTACCGAGGGTGGGCGGAAACGCGATACCGGCGAGGACAAGGAACTGCAGCCTGGGGAAATTGCTATCAAGCCGTACGCACGAGAGACGGATCCCGCGGAGAAGGATCCGTTTTCGAAAATCGAGGGGAAGATTGAGGATAAGCTTCGTGCGAAGACGGAGGCGACTCGCATTCTTGAGCTTCAGGAACGGCAGAAACGTGATTGGGAAGATCCCTATGAGAGGTCTATGCGGTTGCGCAGGACGTTTCGGCAGGAGAGGAAGGGGCTTGAAAAAGCTGAGGCGAAGCGCGAGGCTCTCAAGGACAAAATGAGTCTTGGGATTGAGCTTTTGGATGAGACTGAGGGGGATCGGCAGAGAGCGAGCATGGTGGAGTTTGGTGAAGACCCGACCGATGTTGGCTTGCATGCGGCCCGAGTGACTCGTGTTCGGCCTATGTTTGAGCAGCAGGCGGAAAAGCCCGCACGAAAGACGGGGCCGGAAGAGAAGAAATCTCGTTCTTCGAGGCGGCCTAGGAAGGATGATCTGGTTGCGACGCGGAAGGCTTCTCTCCGTCGAGAGCTGGCTGGGAATACTCGTGCTGTTATTGATCCGTTCTTGGTGGACGATGCAGATAATCAGAATGCTTGGCGGCAACCTAGCATCAAGAAGAGGAAAATCGTCGCCTCTTCGACTCCATCCCTCCGTGAAGATCCCAGTGGCACAGAACTTGATTCCTCTGCTGTGGCACCAACACCAGCGCTGGTCAGCTACCCTTCCGACTCGGAGTGATTTTGAATCCACCTTTGTGCACTATTTTGGGACATGGGGAGAGGCGTTCTTTGGGCTTTATCGTTTTATCTATTGAGATACCCACTTTGTTCTAGACTTTCGATCATAACATTGCGCTTGAATTGTCCACCCCGGCATGCTTGCATCGAGCATCAAACCACTTATACGTCTCTTCTACTTAGGAACCGGCTAATCTAACCATTGTAGTAATGCAAAACAGATGGTACGAACTTCAACTCAGACAAGTTGTATGTGTAGATAAAGATATTGAAACAAGAATAGCGGGAAACCCCCGACACAGTAAGACAGGGTATCCTGCGTAGTTATTACATACAGTAGAATCACAAGAGCAGGGAGTGAAACAGGGTTCAACAAAAGAAAGTCATGCTGCATCACGACTAGGAGCTCAGGAAGGTGCCATATCCACGCGAAACTCAGCGTTTACTGAAAAATGAGACTGTTGCTGCGCGGGTGCGAGCAGGTTCTGGCTCGGGGGCTGGTGGGACTTCGGAATTAGGTGTGGTCGAGGGGCTGAGAGACTCGGAGGATGCTTGCCGGGAGAGTTGGGCAAGTTCGCCAATGAGTCTGGAGGGATCAGCATAATTTCTGAATAACACGGGCATATATTTGACTGACCTGTGATGCTCGCTGTACCAATCATCATTGGCTGTTCGGATGTGCTTAAGCTGTTCCTGGATGCTTGCCATCTATGGAATCGATTAGTCTCTGTATACGCTAATATAGTCTTCATTATCATGTAAATGGGTGGAATGCGGGAAGATCTGATGAGTAGGAAGACTTCTTCAATCGGGGATCTCCCACCGTTCCCTCAATGGATGGGCCTAGGTCCTCACCTTCCGTTGTGGCTGGACCCCCATCTTCAGCGTTCTCGCTACCCTCATCAGCTGTCGCCCATCGGCTAGCCTCCAAGCCCGAAGAGCTGCTCTTCTCGCCACTGTCCGCCTTCAGAACTGCGAGCTCGGTTTCGAGTTCGCGGACCCGTCGCCGGCTGGCAGAGATGTCGGAATCAACGTCGCCAAGCTGGTTGAGGAGACCCATGTTCTTGTCGATCTGATCGTTCAGGTCGCGTTCGCCAGCTTCAAGTTTCTCGGACAGGGTCTTATTTTGGTTCTTGCAATCAACAAGCGAGTCGGAGATGGCAGCGTTATCCGCCTTGACCTTGAGAAGTTGATCGCGGGATTCAGAGAGCTGCTTCATGATCGACTCGAGGTGCGATTTCTGGCCGTCCGAGTCCTTGGCAAGCTTCTCGAGTTCACCCACCTGGGCGACGGCGGCTTGGTACTTCTCTCCAAGTGCAGCATGATCAGCCTGGATCTTGGCGAGCTCAGCTGAGTAACGACCCTCGATTTCCCTGGAAGCAGTGGTGGCAGATTCTTGTACCGCAAGGTGGGCCTTCTCAGAGTCAGCAAGCTTGGACTGCAGATCAGCGACCATGGCCTTCAAGTCATCCAGAGCGGAGGTGTCTTGGACAGCAGCCTTAGCTTGAGACAACTGCTGGTTGACACTGGCCAGGGCTGCCTCGTGAGCCTTCTGGAGATCGTCAATCTTGCTCTTGTTAGAAGCTTCGAGCTCCTCCTTAAGGCCAGACAGCTTGGACTCGTGCATAGTTAGAAGCTGCTCAATTGCCTTTCCGTGCTCGGCATCGAACTCAGCGGCCTTGGCAGTTTGCGCAGCCTCAATCTCAGCCTGTAATTTGGCCTTGGTCTCTTTAAAGCCATTTTGCAGTTCGGCAATTTGCTGCTCGTGAAGCTCGGCATCAGCTTTGCTAGAACTCTGCAAAGCGGAAAGCTCGGCTTGCAACTTCGCCTGAGTCTCTTTGAATTCATTCTGAAGTTCGGCAGTCTCCTTTTCGCGACCCTCGGTATGCGTAGCAATCTCACGAGCGTGGCTTTCAATTACCGCCTTCAATTCAGCCTCAAGTGACTGGACCCGGGTGGCGTGGGTAGACTCCAATTCCTTGTTTGCGGCAAGCAACTCATCGTGCTTCGTCTGAAGATCTCTCAGAGCGCTGTCATGGGAGCCCGATGCCTCCTTGGCCCGCTCCAATTCGGACGCGAGCTGAGCAGCATGCTCAGCCTTCAAGTCTTCCAGAGCCTGTGCGTGCTTTTCAGCCACACCGGCAGCCTGCAGGGTGTGTTGCTCGAGAAGAGATGCGGCCTCTGCAGCCTTTTGCTCTAGAGCCTTCATCTTGTTGTCCTTCTGAACACCCTCCTGCTTGGAGTGATCTTCAACGTCCCGTAGGGTGCGGTGGATAGCTTCGGCTTCGGCTTGCTTGATCTGCATCTCTTCGAGCAGCTTGTTGATTTTCCCAGTGCCAGTGGTCAACTGCGATTCTAGCGACTCACACTTGTGTCGAAGAGCGTCGATCTCCTGAATGGCAAGGTCTTGGGCAGAGGCGTTACCCTCATCGAGAGCACGGCGGGACTCACCGAGGGCATTCTCGGAAGCCTCCAGCTTTTCTTGCAGCAATTTTAGTTCTGCTTCATGTGCGGTCTTAAGTTCAGCAACGGCATCTCCTTGTCCTTTCTTGGCAGTGGCCTTCGACTCCTCGAGGGCATCGCGGAGTTCCTGCAGTTGCGTGGTGTGTTCTGCCCCGCTCGATTCCGCCGCCGCCATGGCAACAGCGAGCTTCTCCGCATGGGAAGCCGAAATATCACTGATAGCAGTTTCATGTTCGGCCTTAAGGTTTGCGATAGCAGCCTCATGGGAAGTCTCCAACTCCTCGACCTTTAATGACAATTCACTGGCGGCGGTCTCGCGTGCCTCCTGGAGCTCAGTGTGGATCTTCTCAAGAGCCTGCTTAAGCTCGGTGATTTCTTGGTCCTTCTCGGCAATCAAAGTGTTCTGCTCACTTCTCTGCTTGGTAAGAGACTCGGCCGCAGCAAGCTTCGCCTCGAGGGAGGCTACTTGCTCTTGAAGACCAGAGACACTCGACTGAGCAGACTCCTCCGCAGCACGGACCTCCTGCTCCTTGAGCGTAGTCAGCTTAACAATCTCCGTGTTAAGGTTCTCCAGGACCTGCTCACGTCCCTTGAGTTCTCGGTTGAAACGGTCGAGGTCCAGAGCTTTCTCTTCCTCCAGGGCAAGCTTCTGGAACTCGAGTTCCTTCTTCAGAGCACTAATCTGCTCCTCGAAGTGAGTAGCTGCAGACTTGTGCTCTGCCAGCTCTTTTTCGATGGACTCAAGCTGAGTTTGGTGTGTTGACTTGAGCTCGTCAAGAAGGACAACTGTTCTGCCATCCCCTTGCGCGGCGGCAGACTGTCTAGCTTCCTCCAGCTCTTTTTGCGAGCTCTCCTCTAGCTCTTTCCGCTGGGACTTCGCTTCGTCTAGTTGCGCTTGCAGGGCCTGGAGCTCCTCCGCATGGGCTGATGTCAATTTCTCAATCTCTGCGGTGTGATCCGCGCGACTAGCCTCGGTGGCACCAGCATCGCCCGAGGGCTCTTCGGTCGAGACGGAAAGCTGGCTGAGCTTCTCATTGACAGTCTCCAATTCAGTCTTCAGACTAGCGACGGTCTCCTCGCTCTCTGTGAGCTTAGTCTGAAGGGCCTGTAGCTTCTCGGAATCACCGGCACGGCCAATTGAGCCAGAAACCGTACTCAGTCGCTTCTTGGGGTCAGCTGCGGTGGTAGATCTAACAGCGCTCGTAGTCGAGGTTGGTCGAGTAGTAGCAGGTCTAGTGGTGGTGGAAGTGGCAGTCCGGCTTGCAGGTGTCGTCGATGAAGTCAGCCTGCCCACGGGCTTGCTCGTCGAGGTCGCAGTGCGTGCAGTTGTGGTGGCAGGTTTCCGCTCGGGGGTAGTACCAGCGACACTCGATCTACGATCGATAGAAGACGAGGTAGGTTTGAGAGGAGCGCGGGTGGAGGTGGTACCGGCCATGGACATGCGCTTCGCAGTGCCAGAGATTCCCCGTCTCTCATCTCCCGAGCTCGCCACAGACCGAGGTTTCTCATCTGCAGAGCTGCTGACTGACATGCGAGACCGGTGGGACGAGACGGTCGAGGTGCTCAGTGGCTTCCGGGTGGTTGTCGTGGTCGAGGGACGAGTGGGAGGTTTGTTCAGCGTGCTGGTGCTCGTGCGGGCGGTACCCGTCGTGGGCTTCGATGCAGAGGACGAGGTGGGCCGTTTGGTGGTAGCTGTTCCAGATACAGGACGCTTCGCGGTGCCAGGTGTACCAGGGCTAGCCTTCGCCGGAGAGGTCGCAGGACTTTCCTTAGATACCTCGGGGCTGGTCTTAACCAACTCTTCGCCTCCGGAGACGACACTGGACTCTATCGGGGTAGCTGGGGGCTCATTTTCATCGACCTCCACAGGAGCAGGGGCGACGACCGGTCCGTCGTTTGATGACATTTTAGATTGTTCGGAATTAGCGTATTAAACAGGGTAAGCTTCGCGGTAGGGTTCAGTTGGCGTGTAGCAGTGAGCTGTCTGCGAAAAAGGGTGTCAGTTGCAGCTCTGTTGAGTAACTCCAAACCCCTAAATGCATGATTGTCGAGCCGGTATTCTCAACACCAGATTCAAGCTCTCGAATTCATGCAACTCCAATGGGTTTGTCAGAAGCTTGTAGCGCGCTGAGTACAAGCAAAAAATCTCACTGTCCCAGTCGCTCAAGGTATTGAACTGTGCCCATGGCCGGACTGAGTGCCATTTTCCAGCTCAACCGAAGCTCCCGTCTATAAACAAACATGCAGAAAAGAGAATGTACTCACGCGCCGCACAACCGTTCCAATGGGAATTTTTCACAATTACTCGAAAACTGAT